GCTGCCACAGTGCCATGTAGCTTGGCCTTCAGATAGACACAACAAGGGAAAAGTACTGGCTTCTGCACATTGATAGAATGATGAGTTTAACTTTAACAAAAGTTGCTTCAAAGTGTTATGAAATCTCACAAATGTCTGCTTAGTTTTAACACTAGCAAACCCAAGCGAAATTGGCCCCTGTTTTGAAAAGAAGGATAGGTTGGCTGCTAACATTTGCATGTATTGATTTGCAAATTTAGGTAATGACTTATAACAGCAGGGGCCTGGGGTGGGCTTTGTTTATTCGTGCGGGGGAGGGAGAGCTGCAAGAGAATGCATCTGGATCAGCACATGGACAATCTGCACAGCCCCTGATTCCAGTCAGGCTGTGAGCTGCTGAGACATGGACAACACCATCGTCCTCTTTTGCATGGACATCATTTGGAACAATTGGATTACACAATTTGGACATGATTTGGAACAATCTGGATTTCTGAATTTTGACATAATTTGGACTGAATTGGATTTCTGAATCTGGACACTGAAGCTGAAACGTGTGATTTGAAGACACGTCACAGAAGAATTCATGGCTCGACACAAATGCAGCCTGAAGAAATCAACACGGAGAAGTGGGAGAGACTGTTTTCAAAGCAATATCTGAGAACCATCGACTGATGAAGTTTGGTATTTTACTGAAGATTGTTGACAAGTTTTATGAAAGATCTGAACATGTTTTATGAGTTTTCTGAGTTTTTGAAGTACAGAGTTTGAGTTTTTGAAATATTGAGTTATGATGTTATGTTGCTGTTTATCGATCCTGATGGTCACACGTGAATGCGTGACCAGAGGGGGGAATGTGAGATTTCATAACACTTTCAAGCAACTTTTGTTAAAGTTAAACTCATCATTCTATCAATGTGCAGAAGCCAGTACTTTTCCCTTGTTTTGTCTATCTGAAGGCCAAGCTACAAGCACACTGTGGCAGCTGCTGATTGGAGGTCTCCATGCCTCCGCTCTGTATTGAGAATGAGGAGTCACGTGATAATTTGGGCGGGGTCTAATCCGGTCGGCCATGTTGATAGGATCCTCTATCGGTTGCCAGGGGCAACGCCACTAACGCTCAATATATAGCTAGAGTCTATGCTAACGCTCCAGAGGTCTTTAACTTGAGCGGCCGTTTATTATTTCGGCAGTAGATACATCTACGATTACAACACTAGCAAGACAGTTAATGGAGAAAGTGAAGGCGAAAGGAAATGGACCGTACAGGGAAAAGCTTCTACCCACGGCAAAACAACGTTATTTGGAGAAGCTCTCAGACATACAACAGGTAGACCCATACGAGCTTCCTGCAGCGGAGTGGCAAAAAGACCTAGACTTTTTGCCTCCGTGCACGTACATGGATATAGTCAATTACCTTGTTTTCGGTGTTAGTTATTATACAATGCAGGAGTTTAGAAGTCACAAGTCACTGGAGAGTTACCAGGTTTTCTGCTGTGGTTGGGTGCAGGACATGGCCATCTACAAGCCTCCAGGCGGTGAAAACACCATTGTACTTGCACTAACAGCAGTGTTACTATTTTATTATTATGTTGTCCGTCTTTTCATGCTGAAATATTTATACGTTGACAGCTGTTGTAAACCGCTTTGAGACTCAGATCTGCAGTGAAAAGGCGGTATATAAATAAAAACTAACTAAACTAACTAACAGCACACGTTCTTTTGCACTGTTAACTTTTCCAAGAGATTACACCCCCCCCCTCCAAAAAAATGTTAATTTCTCAATAAATATTGCTTTGCCACATGAAGTTGTTTCAAACATTTATTTCAAAGAAATTAAAAAGGCAAGGCAAGTTTATTTGTACAGCACAATTCATGTTACAAAACAATTCAAAGTACTTCAAATAAAAAATTAAGAAGCATTACAGCTGGGTGCAGAAGAAGCATTAAAAAGTAACAGAATAAAAAGCATGATTTAAAATTAAAAACAAAAATTCATAAGAAAAAGATAACAGATAAGTAATTCCAGCTTAAAAGAAGCCGTGCAGATTTATACATTAGAATAAAAAATATTCAAAAGCAGCTGAGAACAGGTGGGTCTTTAACCTGGATGTAAACAAACTGAGTGTTTCAGCTGATCTGAGGCTTTCTGGGAGTTTGTTCCAGACATGTGGAGCATAGAAGCTGAATGCAGCTTCTCCGTGTCTGGTTCTGACTCTGGACTCGGATCCAGATGACATGAGGGGTTCTGGTTGGTTCATAAGTTATGAACAAGGCACTCAAACAACACTTTTGCACATGTTCGTTAAGGCACAGCAAACAGTGACAATCTTATCTAAAGGCATTAGGTTTTCACCCTCACATTTGAGAAGCATATGCACAGGTACAGTTGAGTGTAAGAATTTGAATTTGTTGCGCACAACACCAATCACCCTCTCAACGTGAATTCTGAGATGGAAGGTCTAATCTGAGGCGCATTACAGTCAATAGGACAAGCTGGAAGGGTGAGAGCTTCCTCATCCTTCCTTGAGGCAGCTGCTGGGCCGGCGATGGAGGCTGCTGGGCTTGCTCTGGTGATGGAGGCTGCTGGGCTTGGGCTGGCGATGGAGGCTGCTGGGCTTGGGCTGGCGATGGAGGCTGCTGGGCTTGGGCTGGCGATGGAGGCTGCTGGGCTTGGGCTGGCGATGGAGGCTGCTGGGCTTGGGCTGGCGATGGGGGCTGCTGGGCTTGGGCTGGCGATGGAGGCTGCTGGGCTTGGGCTGGCGATGGAGGCTGCTGGGCTTGGGCTGGCGATGGAGGCTGCTGGGCTTGGGCTGGCGATGGAGGCTGCTGGGCTTGGGCTGGCGATGGAGGCTGCTGGGCTTGGGCTGGCGATGGAGGCTGCTGGGCTTGGGCTGGCGATGGAGGCTGCTGGGCTTGGGCTGGCGATGGAGGCTGCTGGGCTTGGGCTGGCGATGGGAGCTGCTGGGCTTGGGCTGGCGATGGAGGCTGCTGGGCTTGGGCTGGCGATGGAGGCTGCTGGGCTTGGGCTGGCGATGGGGGCTGCTGGGCTTGCTCTGGTGATGGAGGCTGCTGGGCTTGGGCTGGCGATGGAGGCTGCTGGGCTTGGGCTGGCGATGGAGGCTGCTGGGCTTGGGCTGGCGATGGAGGCTGCTGGGCTTGGGCTGGCGATGGGAGCTGCTGGGCTTGGGCTGGCGATGGAGGCTGCTGGGCTTGGGCTGGCGATGGAGGCTGCTGGGCTTGGGCTGGCGATGGAGGCTGCTGGGCTTGGGCTGGCGATGGGGGCTGCTGGGCTTGCTCTGGTGATGGAGGCTGCTGGGCTTGGGCTGGCGATGGAGGCTGCTGGGCTTGGGCTGGCGATGGAGGCTGCTGGGCTTGGGCTGGCGATGGGGGCTGCTGGGCTTGGGCTGGCGATGGAGGCTGCTGGGCTTGGGCTGGCGATGGAGGCTGCTGGGCTTGGGCTGGCGATGGAGGCTGCTGGGCTTGGGCTGGCGATGGGGGCTGCTGGGCTTGGGCTGGCGATGGGGGCTGCTGGGCTTGGGCTGGCGATGGAGGCTGCTGGGCTTGCTCTGGTGATGGAGGCTGCTGGGCTTGGGCTGGCGATGGAGGCTGCTGGGCTTGGGCTGGCGATGGAGGCTGCTGGGCTTGGGCTGGCGATGGAGGCTGCTGGGCTTGGGCTGGCGATGGAGGCTGCTGGGCTTGGGCTGGCGATGGAGGCTGCTGGGCTTGGGCTGGCGATGGAGGCTGCTGGGCTTGGGCTGGCGATGGGGGCTGCTGGGCTTGCTCTGGCGATGGAGGCTGCTGGGCTGGCGATGGAGGCTGCTGGGCTTGGGCTGGCGATGGAGGCTGCTGGGCTTGGGCTGGCGATGGAGGCTGCTGGGCTTGGGCTGGCGATGGAGGCTGCTGGGCTTGGGCTGGCGATGGAGGCTGCTGGGCTTGGGCTGGCGATGGAGGCTGCTGGGCTTGGGCTGGCGATGGAGGCTGCTGGGCTTGGGCTGGCGATGGGGGCTGCTGGGCTTGCTCTGGCGATGGAGGCTGCTGGGCTGGCGATGGAGGCTGCTGGGCTTGGGCTGGCGATGGAGGCTGCTGGGCTTGGGCTGGCGATGGGAGCTGCTGGGCTTGGGCTGGCGATGGAGGCTGCTGGGCTTGGGCTGGATGATGGGAGCTGCTGGGCTTGGGCTGGTGATGGAGGCTGCTGGGCTTGGGCTGGCGATGGAGGCTGCTGGGCTGGGCTGGCGATGGAGGCTGCTGGGCTTGGGCTGGTGATGGAGGCTGCTGGGCTTGGGCTGGCGATGGAGGCTGCTGGGCTTGGGCTGGCTGGCGATGGAGGCTGCTGGGCTTGGGCTGGTGATGGAGGCTGCTGGGCTTGGGCCGGGCGATGGAGGCTGCTGGGCTTGGGCTGGCGATGGAGGCTGCTGGGCTTGGGCTGGCGATGGAGGCTGCTGGGCTTGGGCTGGTGATGGAGGCTGCTGGGCTTGGGCTGGTGATGGAGGCTGCTGGGCTTGGGCTGGCGATGGAGGCTGCTGGGCTTGGGCTGGCGATGGAGGCTGCTGGGCTTGGGCTGGCGATGGGGGCTGCCGGGCTTGGGCTGGGAGTGAGGACTGCTCCAGATGCTGGGTCCTGCGCTTTACTTGCCGCTGATATCGCGCTCCATCTGTTTCTTTAACATTATTGTGGCCTGGAGTCACGTGTGGAGGTGCAAGGGAATGGCGGCGCTGTAGAAGAGCTCCTAACCCCGTCAACATTATTTTAAACTAATAACTTTGAAACTTCTCCTACCAACATCCTACTTGAAGCTTGTGTACACGCTCACTACGCCTGAGCAATTTGACCGAAATATGACGACCGCCAGTGAAAGAAAACGATGTGTGCAGACGCGCCTGCCAGCTGTTGCTACACGAGGAGCTAACTCAGCTAACACTGCTAGCCAAGAAGATAACCAAGTAACGGACATAAATGGTCTGTTTGTGGAGATTTCCAAGGTAGGGGCGACACTAAATGGAGTTGCAAGTGATGTGACGATGATTAAATCTGACACAACGGAACTCAAGAACTCCGTGAGTGCAATTAAAACGAGGCTAACTGAAGCTGAGAGCCGCATTTCTGATGTGGAGGACACGGTAGCTAACCTAGCTAAAAACAACGAGAAGCTAACCAAAGCAGTTGCACAGCTCTATGAGAGAGTTGATGACCAGGAAAACAGAGCCCGTCGTAAAAACATTAGACTGGTTGGACTGAAAGAGGGGAAGGAGGCTGGGATGCCACTGGCTAACTACGTGCAGAAAATACTCTCTGATGGTCTGGAGTTGAATGGAGGTGAATATGAGATTGAGCGCTGTCACAGAAGCCTGGCTCCCCGCCCGGATCCCGATAAACCTCCGCGCATCATACTTGTGAGATTTCTCAAATATATTGCCCGTGAGAAAGTCCTGGCTGCTGCTAAGAAGAAGAAGGGGATTCAATGGGATGGCTGTCGTCTGTCACTGTTCGAGGACATGACAAAGGAGCGCTCAGCGCGGCGCAAAGTGTTTTCCCCCCTGATGAAAATGCTATGGCAGCACCAGGTGAAGCACACGTTGGCGCACCCGGCCATACTGAGGTTCACATGGAGAGGACAGCGGCTGAGCTTTACTGACGGCCATACTGAGGTTCACATGGAGAGGACAGCGGCTGAGCTTTACTGACGCAAAGGATGCAGAAAGTTTTGTACGAGAGCACATCGAGAGCGCGGAGGACGACGGAACCACAACGAGCAGACAGACCACGGGAGACGGCGAGGGAGCATCTTGCTAATATCAACGAGTAGGAGAGCGGGGGAATCACAACATTTGACGGGGTGTGGAAGGACACTGCGGCGTGGTCAGGATCAAGACGACGGGAGCAGCAGAGGTCGTCTCCGGAACTCACACGGACCAGATAAGACTTGATTTTTCCACCAGGAAGGCTACACTGCGATGTTCTTTTTTAATGCAGTGTTTTATTTGTTCTTTTTCTACTTTTATTTATGGTTATGTTGTTTTGAAAACAGTGAGGTAAGAATTTATGTTATATTTGCACCAACTTGCTTATGTATGCTAAATAGTGGAGTTCAAGACTCTGGTCGGATAACTTCTCTTTCGGAGAATAATGGGTAAATTAAGTATAAATATTGTTACATGGAACATTAATGGTTGTGGCACACCAGTTAAAAGGAAAAAGGTTCTTAGCTATTTGAAATCTCATGATACGGATATAGCGTTCATACAAGAAACACATTTTGAAAATGATATAGAAGCTTTAAAATTCAAAAGAGGTTGGGTTGGTAAAGTGTTTCACAATTCAGTGTCCAGGAAAAGTAGAGGGGTTATGATTCTTATAAATAAAAATCTTTATTTTGTGTTACTACAAGAGTTTAAAGATGCAGAGGGACGTGTAATATGCATACAAGCACTTTTAAATGATGTGAAAGTTGTTCTCTGCAATATATATGCCCCAAATAGGGAAGAACCACATTTTTTCCACTCCATCCTTAATCTTGAAGGCCACATTATACTGGGAGGAGATTTAAACGAAGTCTCAGATGTCTTTATCGATAAAAGTGTAATGAGTACCAGTTTTAGTACTGGAGGTAAATCTGCAACAGCACTTTTTGAAGAAGAAATTGGGCTGGTGGACATCTGGAGACTAATACACCCTGTGGAGCGAGAATATACGTTTTATTCACATGCCCACAAAAGTTATACCCGCATCGATTACTTTTTGATTTCTAGTACCAGTGTTGATTTAGTGGCAGAGTGTGAAATAGGTGTAATTGCCTTGACAGACCACGCTCCGGTGGAGTTACATATACATTTACAGGGTGAAAATAACAGGACTGGCAGATGGAGATTAAACTCCAGTATACTGCAGGATGAACAATTTGTAACAACATTAAAGGACGACCTAAACCACTTTTTTGACGTGAATATTGGGTCAACAGATAAATTGGCAACAGTGTGGGATGCTCATAAGGCTTTTATTAGGGGTAAATGCTTGGGATACAGCTCTAAGAAAGTAAAAGAAGGGAAAGAAAAAGTTAAAACATTGGAAAAACAGATAGGTGAATTGGAAAAACAACTGGCAGAAAATTATGATGAGAACAAATTTATTAGAATATGTAAACTAAAATTTAACCTTCATGAAATTTATAATAAGAAAGCAGAATATGCACTGTTTAGGCTCAAAACCAATTTCTATGAAAATGGTGAAAAAACGGGACGGCTATTGGCTAGACAACTGAAGCGATTGGAGAACCAGAATGTGATCACAGCAATCAGAGAAAATGATAAGTTGATAACATCATCCTCTCATATTAATACAATTTTCCAAAGATTTTACGAAGATCTTTATACATCTGTTGTAATGACTGGAGAATCAAACGTGCAGACAATTACAAGATTTATTACAAACATAGGTGCAAGCAGGTAGCAGTGGTGGCTGGGCAGGACTGAGCAGGGCTGGAGGCTGAAGCAGGGCAAAAAGCTGGAGGATGACTAGGTCTGGACCAAAAAAACGAACCTGGGTCTTGTAAGTTTAACTGACAATCTGGCACATGGTGAAGGGTGAACCAGGCTTTTAACAAGTGAGGCTGATGAGCTGCAGGTGTGGAGGGCTGAGCAAGGGGCAGGACCAGGACTCCAGACACTCCGCCCAGCTCCAGGAACACAGGGGAGGAGGGAGAGCACACACACACACACACAAACCCTGACAATACCCCCCCCCCTAAGGGACGCCCCCTGGCGGACCACCAGGCCTGCCAGGAACAGCCCTATGGAATTCCGCAATCAGGGCTGGGTCCAAAATACGGGCCCGGGGCACCCAAGAACGCTCCTCCGGGCCATACCCCTCCCAGTCCACCAAGTATTGCAAACCCCTACCCCGCCGGCGCACATCCAGGAGGCGACGAACTGAAAACACAGGGCCACCATCAATCACCAGGGGGGGCGGAGGGGGACCGGCAGGAGGGCACAGATCACTGGACCGAACAGGCTTTAACTGGGACACATGGAAAGTAGGGTGAACACGAAGAGCAGAAGGTAACTGAAGACGAACAGTAGAAGGGCCCAAAACCTTGGTTATTACAAAGGGACCCAGGAAACGAGGGGACAGCTTGCGGGAATCAGTCTTCAGGGGTATGTGTTTGGAAGAGAGCCAAACAGACTGACCTTGCTGGTATTGAGGCGCAGGCGAACGGTGTTTATCAGCTGAAGCTTTGGTCCTGGCTGCGGTCCGCTGAAGAGCCGCACGGGTCTTCCTCCACACGTTTTGGCAACGTTGGAGATGGTGTTGGACCGATGGTACTGCCAGATCCAACTCTTCGGAAGGGAAAAGCGATCTACTACTGTGAGTATGGCTGTGTTACCTTGGGATGGGGGGAGGCCAGTCACAAAATCCACTGCTATGTGTGACCAGGGGCGTTTGGGAACAGGTAGGGGTTGAAGCAGACCGGAGGGCAAGGAGTGGGAGGCTTTGCTTCGGGCACATATTTGGCAGGCTAGCACAAACTCTCGTGTGTCTTTGTCCACAGTCGGCCACCAAAAGTAGCGTTTCAGCAGGGACAGGGTACGATTAATCCCAGGATGACAAGCGAATCGTGAACAATGAACCCACTTCAGTACTTCAGAACGAGCACTATCGGGAACAAAAAGAGTGCCAGCAGGACCATTACCTGGGTCAGGCTGAGTCTGTTGAGCATCTCTTACAACCTTCTCAATGTCCCAACTTATAGCGGCTATCACTCGAGAGGATTGGATGATAGGCTCAGGAACAGGAGTGGCTTCTTCTCGGGAGAACTGGCGTGAGAGCATCTGGCTTTACATTGCGTGAGCCCGGACGGTAAGTGAGGGAAAAATTGAACCTACTGAAAAAGAGGGCCCACCGTGCTTGTCGCGAGTTCAGGCGCCTTGCAGATTGGATGTAAGCCAAGTTTTTGTGGTCCGTCCAAACCAGAAACGGATGCTCCACCCCCTCCAACCAGTGGCGCCATTCTTCTAGGGCGAGTTTAACGGCCAGAAGTTCTCGATTCCCCACATCATAATTCTGTTCTGCTGGTGACAAACGTCGAGAAAAAAAAGCACAGGGATGCAGGACATTTTTTGGGCCAAACCTTTGGGAGAGTACAGCGCCAACTCCAGTCTCTGAAGCATCCACCTCCACAACAAACTGGCGAGAGGGGTCTGGTTGATGCAGCACCGGGGCAGAAGTGAACAGTTCCTTCAATGTAGCAAAAGCAGACTGGGCTTCAGAGGTCCAACAAAACTGTTTGGAGGGAGAGGTAAGTTTAGTCATGGGTGCCACCACTCGACTGAAGTTCTTAATGAACCTTCTGTAAAAGTTAGCAAACCCAATAAACCTTTGTAACTGCTTTCTGGTGCTCGGCGTGGGCCACTCTGCCACCGCCCTCACTTTTTCGGGGTCTGGTCTCACCTGACCGCTTTCAATAACAAAACCCAAAAAACTGACCTTTTTAGCGTGGAATTCACACTTCTCTGCCTTTACAAAAAGCCTGTTTTCGAGGAGTCTCTGGAGAACTTGACGAACATGCTGCTGGTGTTCTTGTAGGTCCTTAGAAAAAATCAGAATGTCATCCAAATAAACAAATACAAATCGATTAAGGAAATCACGCAAGACATCATTGATTAGGGCTTGGAAGACAGCCGGGGCATTAGTTAAACCGAAGGGCATAACCAGATACTCAAAGTGACCAAGGGGAGTATTAAAGGCGGTCTTCCACTCGTCACCTTCTCTAATACGTACCAAATGGTAAGCATTCCTGAGGTCCAGCTTAGTAAACACAGTAGCTCCATGTAACGGTGTGAAGGCAGAGTCAATAAGTGGCAACGGGTATTTATTACGGACTGTAATACCATTCAGACCCCTGTAATCTATACACGGTCTAAGTGTTTTGTCTTTCTTAGCGACAAAAAAGAATCCTGCCCCCACAGGTGAGGAAGACGGCCTGATTATCCCAGCAGCAAGAGAGTCCCTGATATAGCCCTCCATGGCCTCCCTTTCTGGTTTGGAGAGGTTATAGAGGCGGCTGGAAGGAAGAGGTGCACCAGGCAACAGGTCAATAGGACAGTCATAAGGCCTGTGGGGAGGAAGTGAGAGTGCCCGACTCTTACTGAAGACATCACCGAGGTCATGGTAGACTGTAGGGACAGAGGACAGATCCAGCTTTTGCCGTTCATGTAGAGTCTGAAGCCCCCCTACTGGTGACAGAGCAGATTGAAGACAGTGAGCATGGCAAAAAACACTCCACTCAGACACTTTTCCATTGGACCAGTCGATAGAGGGATTGTGTCTTACTTGCCAGGGATGTCCTAAAATAAGTGGAGTGGAGGGAGCGGAGATGACAAAAAACTGCATCCTCTCTTTATGGTTGCCAGACAAAACTAATGAGATTGGCTCAGTAATGTGAGTGACCTTCGCCAACTGACTGCCGTTAAGAGCCAGTGCGGTTAAGGGCGTTTCTAAAGGTTCTAAAACAAAGCCTGCCTGCTCTGCCACCACTTGGTCCAAAAAGTTCTCCTCTGCACCAGAATCAATGATAGCTTTAATAGGCAGAGTCAAAGTCTTGTGACACAAAGTTGCAGGAATTTGAAGTCTTGAGTTCTTTATTTTTGGGTGAGGATTATGGCTCACCAGTATTCCCAGACCTACTGGT